ATAAGAGAGACAACAAAGGTACGATATGAAAGGGGGAATGGGAGAGAAAATGAGAGGAAATTCAAGACTCAGAGGGAATATGAAAGATGGAGCGCCAGAACGAGAAGTGAGAAAAAAAGTACAAGTACGAGAGAATGTAGAAAAGGAAAGAAAAACAGGAAATGGGAGAACGAGATTGCGAGAACTCGAGTTAGGAAACGGACAAATTCTTGTGTCGCATTCCTGATTTTCAGTATTAATTTATCATGGGAAAAAAATGTGTGCACATATATATTTATATATATACATATATATATATATATATATATATATATATATATATATATATATATATATATATATATATATATATACACATACATACACACACACATACCCCCAAGCCTATACCCGCTGTTGCCGTGGTGTTTTTAGGAAACGGAGGCTGGGACCCTCTCTGCCTCGGGCTTCTTCCCAAGACTCAACTAATTTTGCACGGCCTTTTCCCCTTCCCTTTTCGTTTCCTGATCTTATCCAACTTCTACTGTCCACTTGCTAATGTGTGAAAGCTGTGTTGAAAAGAAAAGCTGATTGTGCCATTCAAGAACGGCCTGGGAGACCCTTGGGCACAGTATTCCCCTGTTTAGTTGTCTAGCCCAGTGTTGTCCAAACTGGGGTCCGAAACATAGATCATAAGGGTACGTGAACAAACAGGAAACACACACACACACACAGAAACCCATGTTCTGTGATTTTTTTTCATTCGTGTATTAAATTGGAATTTAATGACCAACACTCCTGCAATGCAGTCTTTTCATAAGTAGTATATTATTTGCATCATCATAAGTAGTTAGTTTAGCCATGGTGGACGGGGGGGGGGGGGGTACGTAAGAGTACAAGAAGGTACTATAGGGTACAATAGGCGAAAATGTTTGGACAACACTGGTCTAGCCCTTACCTCTCAAGGGCACCATGAGGGGTGGACTATTTCCCTCCCCAACATACTCCAGGTTTATCATGACCAGTGATGACGAATTTGTACCATTATTAGGAGCACCGAGGCTGGTTCCTTTTTCAAATAGCCCCACTGGTTTCATGTGTCCCTGTTCCCCGACCCCGGACTCTCAGACTTTGACCACGACTCTGAACACTGCCTATTACCCCCTCCTCAGTGTCTACTATCACATCAGTCCAGTCATACATCCAGGTCAGTACTCAATCCTCGGGAAGTATTTCTCTTCTGCCAACATCCTCTAGATCTCCTCCACCTCCACTTTCTTTAGTCTTACTGTCCACATCTCCGCAGTGCTACCTCTCTCAGCACTACTCCCTCTTCCACACGTCCCCGTCCTTCTACTACTCCCACCTCTACAAACATGTTTAGCCCAGCCAAATGGGATCGATTCTCGTTATCCCCTCCACGGCCACTTTGACAACACTCTCCTCCAGCAATGCCTCCAAATACCAGCAGGCAAAGTCTCCTTCCGCATCCCAGATCGTTCCCGTCTTGTCACGGTCACAACCGAATCTCAGGCTATAGCATTAACAACCTTAAATGACTTAACTGGTAAACCTATTCCTGCCCAACCTCATCCCTCCCTCATTATTTGCACCGGAACGGTCTCCATCTCCCGGACAAACTGTCATGTCTACGACAAGGATTGGTCAGTTTGTGAAGAAGACTTACTCGCCCGCCTCATGGACTATGGGCCGTATCATTACGTGCTACACCCTTCCCCCTGGAGGCCGCCGTAAGTCCCCCACCAATATTGCTAAGATTATCATCCGTAGACATGACTTCCCCTTTACTGTTTACCTTTGCGGAGAGTCCTTCCCTGTCCGACCATACCGACCTCCCGCCAATGTCGGAATTGTTACCGTTCCACAGCCCGATGCCCGATGTGTGCTCAACCTGGTCATAATCAATCAAACTGCTCTACACAGTCACGCACGAGTGCCAATTTGCGGCTCCCATAATGTATTTTATAGGGGCTGCTCTCCCAACAAGTTCCAGTCTGAGGTGGCGATTCTCAGATTGAAAATTGGCCTCACCTTAAGCGAAGCCAGACAGGAAACACATCGACGAGTTTTTCTCTCACTCCCTACTCCAAAAATGTCCTTCGCTCTCCCTTTCCTCCAAAGATGTCTCTACATTTCCCCCAGTAACTCTTTTCTCATCCCGCTTCTACCCTCTCTTCTCTCAATCAAATTCTTCTAAATTCAGACACCCTAATCTCCACCACTATTCCAGACACTCCTTTCTCTACTTCCCCGGTACCTACCCCTCTTCCTCCTCGCCTAGCTCATCGTACAAAACAACTAAACGCTCCATTCAATCCCTACCCGCCAACCTCTCCCTCCATCCTCAAACATTTACCCCTCTTCTCCCCCTCAAAGAAAACCTTCGTTTCTCAGACCTCCCCAACCAACTCCACTTCGGAAACACTCGAAGAGATTCAAAACTATCCAATCATGATCCAAGATAACATGCCAGCGCCTCATCCATCCTCCAGTCTCTCTGCTCCCATTCCCTCTATACACTCAAAGAAACTGCCGACATCCATCCTCCTCCTACTCCTGCACCCCTCCTCCCACTCCCTCCCAAAACACCCCATCCCCCCTTTCTTTCCACATTATCCCTTCCGCTTCCCCCTGGATACACTTGTGACCCTTTATCACAACAAACCTCTTCCCTAGACGAGGAGGAATAGAAAGAGTAAAGGAGGAGGAAGAGGAGGGCGAGGATAAGAAGAAGAAGAAGGAGGAGGAGGAAGAGGAGGACGAGGATGAGAAGAAGAAGAAGAAGGAGGAGGAAGGAGGAGGAGGAGGAGGAAGAAGAAGAAGAAGAAGAAGAAGAAGAAAGAAGAAGAAGAAGAAGAAGAAGAAGAGAAGAAGAAGAAGAAGAAGAAGAAGAAGGAAGAGAGGATGAGGAAGGAGAAGAGAGGAGAGGAGAAAGGAGAAGGAGAAGGAGAAGGAGAAGGAGAAGAGAAGAGAAGGAGAAGGAGAAGGAGAAGGAGAAGAAGGAGAAGGAGAAGGAGAAGGAGAAGGAGAAAGAGAGAAGAAGAAGACAGAGAAGGAGGAGGAGGAGAAGTAGGCGTAGGAGTAGTAATAATGATAGTATCAACGATGATAATAATAGTAACAGCACTCGTATCAGTAATAGAAATACTAGTAGTAGTAGTAATAGTTATAATTGTAGTAGTAGTAGATGCAGTGATATCATAATCATAATCATAACGATGATAATGATAATAGTAATAATAATTATCATTGCTACTACTACTACTACTACTAATAATAATAATAATAATAATAATAACAATGATAATAATAATAATAACAACAATAGTAGTGGCAACAACAACAACAACAAAACAAACAACAACAACGATAATAACAATAATAATTATGGCGATGATGATGACCAGAATCTGTTTAATCACACCGCAGAGTAAGTAGTTGACCAAGAAGCAACAGCAACATTTGCAAGACATCGATGAGGTGATATTCTCTCACAAAATTCGACCAGGAGGCGATAAAACACGCAGCCACACCGCGCTCATACTTCAAGGAGATCGATTGTCTTTTGTCATCGGCGCGGGGGTACACCTTTCGCAAATCACGGAACAAAATGATAATGATTATTGTATAGATTAAATGAAAATGGATGAATGATAGAATGAAGTTTTTGTTTGTGTAAATTACTCTATTCTGTTAAGTGGCTTAAATAATGCAATGGCGTATTTGAATTGAATGTGTATTTATTTTCTTCTATATTATGAGATTAGTTTGTAATCCCTCTGTGTTGTTATTATTCACATTGCTACAAGGTTCATAAAACAATTTTTAATTACCTATTGTTTTAGATCAGTGTATATGAATTCTCCGCTTATTCGAAAGGATTTAATGAATTTATTTGTACAGTGAAATAAATTTAAATGATAAATTACAGTATAAAGGAACACTGTACATGAATTCTGCGCTAATTCGAACGGGCATGATTAAAAGTACGTTATTTAATGTCTCAATATGAAAAAAAATGAAAGATGCTCATCCTACAATGTGACCATTTTTGTGTCATTTTTGGTCATAATGGCTTTCGAAAACTACAGTTGAATAGACAAATAATGTAATTTAGAAAGGAAAGTAGTAATGATGTCATCAAACAGAATTTTTAAAAGTTGACGTTGAAAAATGTAATATTATGTAATTACGCTTACTATCATTAAATATTTGTAAGTTATTAGTATTTGTTAGTCAATTGTTCTTTGCCATATTTTTTTTCCAATCTTTTTCTGTTTCTTCTTTGTTTCTTTTTCCTTATTTACAATTTGTTATTTATGACGTTATTATTTTCGGTTCTTTATTCTGTATATATTCTTTATTGTTTCGTATCTTTATCATATCTATTTGCTAGTCTTGTGCAATTTGTTATTCGTTATTTATTTCTTACTTCTTTATTTATTCGATGTTATTTCTTGTTTCTAAATTCTTGCTCATGTTATCTCCGAGTTCAGGTGTTTTTCAACCATTTGTTACTTGTTAATTACTAATTATTATTTTCATTCACTATTTGCCATTTGTTATCCTTATACATTCTTTTCTTGTGCATTTTATTTGTGATTTTTTAACGATTCATGAAAGGATAGACGAATTAAGATTTTGAATATCTTTGTAATATTTGTTTTTCTTTACATTGCGAATAATAATTATTATTTACGAATACTGTATTGTGAAGTTTTTTAAGAATATATATTTTTTTCACTGCAAACTACTACCATCTTATAATTCTTTGATAAATTCATTTGTTTATTTTTTTACTTTGCCAAGAATGCTTCTTTTTTGTTCATTTTAGCCTGATTTACCTAATAGGTCATAAATCACATTGCTGCAATTTGTTTACTAATCTATAGAAACAGATTTTTTTATGGGTTTAGGCCATAAAGTTTGTAAAACATAATTATCAATCTCAATTACTATCTATATGTTCAAAATCATAAAATAAGGAGAAAAAAAGATTGTTCTATATCACAATTCATTGATAATTTTTGTTAAATATACAATATACATACACCATCATGAGCAAGTACATTAGAGAGCGAGAGAAAATACGGAATCTAAATCTCTATTCAGGCGATTGTCTTTTGTTTTTAAAGAGATTCATAGGACTTATAGATATAGATACAGGTATATAAATGAAAAAAAATGAATGATTATACAATTAAATCTTCATTTGGCACGAAAATTGTGATCATGGAAGGGTTTAAGCACCAATTCTTTATTAAATAAATCAAATTTACAGAGGGAAAGAAAAGAATAAGATAGATAGAGAGAGAGAGAGATACAGACAGACAGACAGACAGACAGAAGACAGCCATAGGTAAAGACAAAGAAAACAGATAAGGAAAGAAAAAAAGAGACAAAAAAACTTTTTTACAATCAAGACATTAAGTTAACGTATTGCCCTCTGTTCGGCTACCTCCATCATAAAATAATTAAAAACAGTACCTAAAAGAATATGACAAGACCGTTGATGTCTTCGTTAACCTTCTAACACTCTGGGCGCCATTTTTGTCCTCCGAGAGAACCCGTGAACAGAAGAACAAGAGAACACGAGAAAAGAGAACATTTCTTCTCTCGGCGACTACTTTTTCAAGGCATGAGTGTTCAGTGTTCTCAAAGCAATGGCCCGGAAATGCGTTTTTTATTTGTCTTGTGAGTAATACTTTCATCTGTATACATAAGCATTATGTTCACGTCGATGCACTGCAAGTATGAGATAGCGTGCATAGATGTGAAGATATCGAAGCTTCTCTTACGGATGAATGTCTGAATGAACAAAACATTTAATGAACGTATTTTCGGGAAGTTGGTCCGAGAACCCCTTGGACGCGCATCTTTCTTTGTGCAAGATACCAAGAAGTCTTCCTCCGCGCCCGTCCTCAGTCTCGCGGATCCTCGACGATCTCCTCCTTGAGTTTCTCGACGGCGGCGCTGTGGCCGAGGCGGCTGATGCCCGTCCTCACGCTGGACGTCTTAGCATCCTCCTTCTCCATCTCTCCTATGAAGGCCTTGAGTCGGGTGATGCCCAGCGTCGGCGAGTCGGGCAGTTTCAGGTTGGTCGGGGAGGGCGGCCGCACCTCCACGCCGACGACGGGGAAGTAGTCGCTCTGCTCTGCCTCCTCGTCTTCCTCTTCGTCTTCGTCGTCGTCCATCTCGCTTTCGCTTCGACGGTCGTCCGGAGAAGTGCCCTGAGTCTGGCGTTCCGTCTCTGGGGAAGTGGTGACGACGTCCTCCTCGACGACCGTGAATTCGGGCTGAGTGAGGCTCACCCTCGGCCCGGCAGTGAGGCTGACCGTCAGCTTCGGTTTGCGGAGAGTGACGGTTGCCTCCGCGTCGGCCGCCGCCGCCTCGAGGTCGGCTGATAGGCGCACGTGGTCGCCAGAGCCCACGGAGTCGCGGCTCCTCGCCTGGTCCTTAAGACTCCCCGAGCTCGAGGAGGAAATATCACAGTCAATGAAGTTGGTCTTGGGGAGAGGCTCGTCGCTCTCGACGCTCGTGGTGGAGATGGAGGAGGGCCTGCGGCCGCCCAGGCCCTTGGCTGCGTCGCCGTCCAGGGAGCCCTCTCGCTCGCGGGACAGGCGCTTCTTACTCTCCTTGGCGCTGAGGATCGCGTTGATCTGCTCCAGGGAGATGTTGCCGTCCACGACCTTATCCTCCACGGCCCTGGGCTCCTCCTTCGGGGTCGAGGTCATCCCGGGCACCGGCCTGTTGGAGCGCGGGATGTCGTGCGCGGGGGACTTCTCTCGGATTCTGGTCTTCTCGGGCACCATCGGCGGCGGATCCTGCTCTCTGGAGGCGCTGGAGGAGCGGCTGTAGGTGCTGCCCCGCGACTCGCCGCTCGCCTGAAAGCCGCAGCGCAGGGTGACCGCCACCTCCTCGTCCTTGGGGCCCTCGCTCTCCTCCGGCAGGGCAGGCACGACGTTCAGCGTGGGTACCGGTCCCTTTGGCGTCGAAGGGGCGTCCGCCACTTTCGCTTCCCGAGGAATCGCTGGCTCGGCGGCCGCGGCTCCCTCGGCCGCTTCCGAATTCTTTCTCATATCAGGAGACGAACCTTCCTTCTCCTCCTTAGCATTCTCTTTCTTCTCTTTGGACATCTTCCTCTGCAGGAACTTGGAGAAGGCGTTGCTGTTCTTGCCCTTGACCTCGTAGTCGCCCTTCCCGCAGTCGGCGCGCCCCACGTCCAGACTCCCGGACCGCTTGCGCCCAAAGATAGCCATGAACTTGCCCGATTTCTTCTCCGGCGAATCAGGCTCGCTCTTGCACGACCCGGAGCTGTCGTTGGTGTTGCTCCTGCGCCGGAAGGGGCTTCTCGGCGGCGTGGCTCCAGCGCTGCCGCCGTTGGGCTTCGCCAGCCTCGGCTTCTCGTTCTCGTTCAGAGCTCTTATCGAAGCCGGGGATGAGGTTTCGGACGTGGAGGGCGTGTGGTGCGGGGAAGGAGGCTTCGGGGAGGCCTGCGAAGCTTTCCGCTCGCCGTCTGGAGTCCCACTTGGCTTCACGCTTCGCAGAACGTCTTCGTCCAACTGGTCGTACTCGGACTCGTCTCCCGCGCTCTCCTTGAGCGTCACCGAGACTTGCAGGAATTCCGCCTCCGATCCCTGTCTCGAGAGGGAGCCCTGCGAGGACAGGTCCTGGTCCCTCGAGACCGAGCTGAAGGAGCTGGGGCTGTCCTCCTTCGCCTCCGGAGACGCGCTGCCCCCCGCCCGCTCAGAGTCCTCCGGCGTCCTTTCCTGAGCTTTCCCTTTCTCTCCTTCGCCCTCGGGGTCGGGAACCTTCGGCGTATCTTCCCTCTTGGCTTTGTCCTCCTCTTCCATATCCTTCGAAGGTCGACGCTCTGTCTCCTTGGGTTTGTCCTCCTCCTTGTCCTTTTCCTTCTCCTCTTCCGACTCGCTCGACGACGAAGATGGCGGCGATCTGTTGGCTTTCGTTGAGGGATTCTTCTGTAAATGAGAAAAAAAGGTTAATCTGACTCTCTCTCTCTCTCTCTCTCTCTCTCTCTCTCTCTCTCTCTCTCTCTCACTCACTCATTTCTCACTCACTCACTCTCTCACTCATTTACTCTCTATCTCTCTCTATCTATCTCTCATTAACTCTCTCCTTCTCTCTCTCCACAGAGTGGAATTGCATATGAAAAAAACATCCAAACATCCAATGAGACAAAAAAGGAGAAAGAGAAAAGGGGGAAAAGAAAGAGAAAACGAAAGAGGAAGAAGCAGAGAAACAACGAGAATGAACAAAGACCTTGATAAAAGACAAGTGACAAAGCCAGCGCGAGAGCAAACGGACGCAGAGGTCAGATACGCTTCGAGATTTGAGGACCAGAAAGAGAAATAAAAAACTGAAAGGAAAAATAAGCTTATCGATTGGGACTTCCTCCGTCGGGCCACCACGCATCCTGTCGCTCTCGCCTTTGGCTCTTAAATAAAGCCGCTAATTTTACATCGTGTTGGTGTGACGAGTAAAATGGATGTTGATGTGGGCGTTTTTTTTTCTTTCTTTCTTTCTTTTTTGATGTAGGTATATACGTGTACACATATATGAATGTATGTATTTATGGTCACGCACATTGACGCACACTAATCCACATACACACTCACAAAAGGATACACGCATACAAGCACACACACATACATATAAATATATATGCATGTATGTATGTATTATCAGTGTCACTGCTCAACATACCTCCCTGCTCTCCTTCTCCCGAGCGTCGACGCCCTCCTTGACCGCCTCCTCTGCTCCCTTTCCTTCCCTTTCCTCGTCTCCCTCTTCGCCCGACTTGGCCAGCACGGAGTGGACGCCCCTGGAGAGCGGGATGCTCGGCGAGGGGGACTTCTTCCTCTCGGGCGTCCCTCCTCTCCTCTGCGTCTCCGGCGAGGACGTCTTCAGGAGCTCGCCTTCAGGGCGGCTCAGCAGAGGACTCTTGCCCAGAGGGATGATCGGATTCTTGTTAGGGCGCTTCGGGCTCGGCGTCAAGGACGTCTCCTTCGCCTCCTTCGCCTCCCCGACGTCCCCTCGAGGCGACAAGTGCTTCTTCAGCTTCACCCCAAATGTGGCCTCAGGATCGAGCTCCTTCGGCGGGTCCTCTCCTTCGGCCTTGTCCCTGTCCTTCTTGCCGTCGGAGGGCCTCCTGTCGACCTTCCTCAGCTTCACGGCGTCGATCCTGATGGGGCCCAGAGGGTTCACGGGGATCCTCTGCACCTTCTTGGGCTGGATGAGCTTGGGTTCCTCCTCCTCCTGCTTGGCCTCGTCCTCCTTGGCCTCGTCCTGCTTGGCCTCGTCCTCAGACTCACTCAAGGACGAGGTTGCGGGCGACGTCTTGGATCGCGCGGGCAGGGTTGCGCTTTTCTGCCGATAAAAAAATAATAATTATCATCATCGTTTTTTTAATCCTCTTCTCATTCTGCCATTTCTACCATTGTTTCTATTTTTTTTTTCTGTCCGACTCTACACGTAAAGCATTATTGGTTATGAATGACCATGAAAATCAATTAGTCGAAGTTCCTTATAAATTCCTACCCTGCACAAATATCTTCAATAGACCACCCCAGTTAACCACACTAACAAGACATTCCCATTCACAATATCATATCTCTCTCTCTCTCCCTTGTGTTATCTTAATTTCTCTTATCTCATCTCTCTCCTATATTTATCTCTCTATCTTTATCTCATATTTCATCTCTCTTCTATGTTTATCTCTCTTATCATATCTCTCTTATCTCCATCTCTCTTATCCCATCCTCATCTTTCTCCTATCTTATCTCTCATCCTTACCTCTCTCCTATCTTCATCTCCACCTTCATCATTCTCTCCTTATCCTATCCTAACCCCCCCCCCCACCTTCCCCCCTCTAACGCCCTCCGCCCTCACCTCTTGCGAAGAGTCACCTGATCGAGGCGCTGGCAGGTTCGAGTCCGACCGATTCCCCGACCCGCCCGTTGGTCTCAGCAGGGAGCTCCTCAGGACCGACATCCAGTGGTCTCTCTCCTCGCTCGTCTCGGCTGCCTGGAATTGGAAAGGGCGGAGGGTGGTGAGTCTGGTGGGAAGGATGGGGAGGGGGGAGGGAGAGGGAGGGAGGAGGGAGAGGGAGAGGGAGGGGGAGGGAGAGGGGAAGGGTGGTGAGTGAGTGGGAAGGATGGGAGAGGGAGGAGGAGGGGAGGGGAAGGGAGGGGAAGGAGGGAGGGAGGGAAGGGAAGGATGGGAGGGAGGGAGAGAGAGAGAGAGAGAGAAAGGAGAGGAGAGGGAGGGAAGGGGAGGGACAGAGAGAAAAAGCGAGAGAGAGAAAGATAAAAAGAAAAAGAGAGACAATCACAGACACACAAACAAAGCCAAACAAACAAAAAAACACAAATACATCCAAACAGAAAAAAAAACTAGAATGAGGAAGAAACATACAGCTAAAAGCAAAGAAACGAACAAAAAATAAATAACCGTAGAAGCAAACAACCAAAGCCAGAGAGAGAGAGAGAAGCTGACACCACAAGCTTCCTGTGACAAAGGCTGCACGGGACGGACCGTATCCTGCCGCTCCTGCTTTGTGCTCCGAATCTCAGGGCTTCATAGATACATACCTTGCAGTGTTGTTATATTTAAACATGATCCAACAGTTGTTTTATACGCTTTCGAGGGTTCATATTTACTTTGCATTTTATATACTCATGATCCCTACCCCTTCGAGACTTCATATATTCCTTGCAGCGTTATGTATATACACATGATCCCTCGGTTGTTCTCAGGGCTTTATAGATATACACCTTGCAGTGTTGTTATATTTAAACATGATCCAATAGTTGTTTTATACTCCTTCGAGGCTTCATATTTAAATTGCAGTTTATATACACATGATCCCTCAGTTGTTTTATACTCCTTCCAGGATTCATGTACACTTTTCAGTGTTGCTATATATACATGATCCCTCAGTTCTATACTCCTTTTTTCTCTTCTTTCCCCCCACGTTTACTAGGTTATTCCTTCCCTTAGCATGATTTGTCATATTTTCCATTGCATATTACCTCCCTTTGTTCCATTCTTCACTCATTAATTCCGTTTTAAATTTCCTCCACCCTTCCCTCCCTTAAATATCACCTCTCCCCTTCACTTTTTCCCTTATTCCTCCCTCCCTCTCTTTCCTTCCTTCCGCCCTACCCTATTTACTTTACTCCTTTGCCTCCCTCCTTCTCTCTACCCTCCCCGCCTAATTACTTCCCCTTCCTCCCTTTCTAACGCCCTCCATTTTCTATAACCCACCTTTTCTCCCTACCCTTCTTTTCCCACCCTGTTTCCCCTTTCTCTCTTTCTTTCCTCTCTCCTTTCCTACCCTATCCTTCCGTCTCCCTCCCTGGTTTAATCTTCCTTCCCTTCCTCCTTCCAACCCTCCTACTTCCTCTCCCCCAGCCTCCTTACCAACACAATGTGCTTGAGGGTTTCTCCTCTCGTTCTCTTCTCTCTCTCTCTTCTCTCTCTCCTCTCCTCCTCGCTCCCTCCCCTTCTCCCTCTCCTCTCCCTCTCCCCCTCCCCCTCCCTCCCCCTCCCCTCTCCCCTCCCTCCTCTCTCTCCTCCCTCTCTCTGCTCTCCTCTCTCTCTCTCTTCTCTCTCTCTCTCTCTCTCTCTCTCTCTCTCTCTCTCTCTCTCTCTCTCTCTTTCCTCTCTCATCTCTCTCTCTCTCTCTCTCTCTCTCTCTCTCTCTCTCTCTCCTCCTCTCTCTCTCTCTCTCTCTCTCTCTCCTCTCTCTCGTCCCTTCTCTCCTCTTCTCCCTTTCCTCCCTCTCTCTCCTCTGCCCTCTCTCCCCTCCCCTTCCTCCCTCCTCCTCCCTCCTCCCTCCCTCCCTCCCTCCCTCGCCTCCCTCTTCCCGTTCTCCCTTCTCTCCCTCCTCCCTCCCTCCCTCCTCCCCCTCCCTCCCCTTCCCTCCCTCCCCTCCCTTCCTTTCCCCTCCCCTCCCTCCTTTCCCTCCCCTCCCTCCCTCCCCTTCCTCCCCTCCCCTTTCCCTTCCTTTCCCTCCCCATCTTCGCCGGTTTCTCTCTCCCTTTCGCTTTCCAATCCCTTCCCTTTCTCTCCCCTTCCCTCCTTCCTTTCCCTTCCCTCCCTTCCCTTCCCCTTCCTCCCTTCCCTCCCCCTCCTCTCTCCCCTCCCTTCCCCTCTCTCCCCTCCCCTCCCTCCCCCTTCCTCTCCCCTCCCCTCCCCTCCCTCTCCCTCCCCCTCCTCCCCTCCCTCCCTCCCCTCCCCTCCCTCCCTCCCCTCTCCCTCCCATCCCCATTACCAATGCAATATGCTTGAGGTTCTCTCCGTATCCCCTTCCGTACTCAACCCTTCCCCCTCCCTTCCTTTTCCCCTTCCTCCCTTCCTCCCCTCCTTCGCCTCTCCTTCCCCTCCCTTTCCTGCTTGAGATTCTGTCTCCATCTCCTTCCCCCTCCCTTCCCTCCCTTCCCTCCTCTTCCCTCCCCTCCTCATCCTTACCAACACAG